GGGGCTGCTGAGATGTGAGGTCTGCCAACATGATTAATAATCTTTGCTGCAGGGCTGTCACAATGTTCATTAACATGGCTGTGCCCGAGAAGACACTCCAGGACAAGGCACAGTCGATGCCACAAGACCTCAGCCCTCTAGATTGTGCTCTTTAGAAATAAATATGGCAATGGCCTGGTCCCTTCACTGCAGCCCTGGGAGCTTTGCTGGAATCAGAAAAGGCACTGGTTTTCCAAGACAATGCATCAAGCGTCTGAAATGGGTAAGAGCTCTTCCCCCCCTCCACACACACACCCATGCACACACTCTTTGTATTGTGCTTGTTATTCTTGGCCTGCGTCCCTGAGTCACAGGAGGGACGCAAAGAACCTGATCCTGCTGACGTGAAGGCACATGCTTAGTTCTGCATGCCTGAGGACATGCTAGGAAATCGGTGGCACAACTCCCCTTGCAAAGGTGGAACCACAGCATGCCTCTGGATTGGAATTTCCCGGTGTAGTTTGGATCTAGGGTCTTGGCGCAGTTTGGATCTAGAGTCTTGGTGCAGTTTGGACCTAGGGTCTTGGTGTAGCTTGGACCTAAGGTCCTGGCGCAGTTTGAATCTAGGGTCTTGGCGCAGTTTGGATCTAGGGTCTTGGCATAGTTTGGACCTAGGATCTTGGCGCAGTTTGGATCTAGGGTCTTGGTGTAGCTTGGACCTAGGGTCTTGGCACAGTTTGGACCTAGAGTCTTGGTGCAGTTTGGACCTAGGGTCTTGGTGTAGCTTGGACCTAAGGTCCTGGCGCAGTTTGGATCTAGGGTCTTGGCACAGTTTGGATCTAGGGTCTTGGCATAGTTTGGACCTAGGATCTTGGCGCAGTTTGGATCTAGGGTCTTGGTGTAGCTTGGACCTAAGGTCCTGGCACAGTTTGAATCTAGGGTCTTGCCGCAGTTTGGATCTAGGGCCTTGACCTGGGCCCAGCAGAGGCGCAGAGACCAAGTGTTAGCAAAAGCAGCAGTCAGCGCTCATCCTGTGCCCATCTCTCACCTGTGTAACACATCCCGAGCTACCTGGGGTGCTGTGGTTTCTTGCTGTGCTGTATTTCAAGGCCACTCACAACTTCCATTCAATGGTGGGGAGAGAATTCGGCACTCAAAATACCCAACTGTATTTTTACCCTGTATCATCTACTGCACTCAACATCTATTTTTAATGCCCGGCCAGGTTTAGTTTCTCCTTCATTTCCCAGCGGTACCGGGGCTCTGCCTAGAACACGAATTCTCTGGAGGATTCAGGTAGATGCAGGAGCCGGTCGAACACCCTCCAAACTGTCGGAGAACCCCTCTTGCTTCCAGGGCAGTAAATAGGTGGTGGGGACCGGTCAGGAAGGCAGGTGGGGACTCAGCTTCGAAGTGAGCTGGAACCCCTTGATCTCCGGTCAAAGGCTCGGCCGTGAAGCTCTGCCTTCATCCAGGGAACGTTTCCATGCAAGCCACTGCCTTTGTCGACGGCTCTTCAAGGCAAGCGTAGGTGTTGGCTTTCATTCCACTGTTTCCAACCTGAGTGAATGGCTGTGTCCTTGCCCTGGTACAGCCGCGTACCTTCCCCACGTGGGCTCCGGATGGGTTTTGTTACGTGAAACAAGCCTTGGTAATTTCTCTGTTACCACGGGACGGTCATTCGTCTCTCTGAATCCGCCGTCAGCGATTACGCTGCATTCAGCTTGACCCTGACATTCCCGTTCTGTTCATCTCCGGCCAGCAACCTGAGCCAAAGGCCTCATGGAAGACGTGCGTCTCGGCCCCGTCTGCCCACGGATTCGGGGAGTCTCTCCTGCTCGTGCCAAGCACAACGCCCTGTTGTTATTGTGCGGGTGACACCGCAACACTCACAGAGGCACCTGGGGGGTTCAAAAGATGATGGTGTCTGGCTGTGGACTCTCCATCCTTGGAGGTTTTTAAGACCCGGCTAGACAAAGCCTTGACTGGGATGATGTAGTTGGGGCTGGTCCTGCTTTGAGCAGGGGGTTAGGCTAGATGTGACCTCCTGAGCTCCCTTCTCACCCTCATTTTTTATGATGCTGCATGTCCTGCAAGCTTTGCCGCCGCCTGGCCCTGCCTGTCTGTCTGTAGGTACCCAGGTTGCAAATATTTTTTTTTTTGCAAAAATCTAGTTGGTTTTGTCACATCTACCACGAGTTTTGATTCCATCTGCCTGTCTGTCTGCATTTTTAACTGGGCGCCCTTCGGTTCTTTCCCCACCTCCAGCCCTGCAAACAGCCAGCCTTTTGCAAACCCTAACCCAGCCCTCACTTCTGCCCACGCCTCTATTCCGTATATCACAAGGATCTGGCCTCTCATTAGTATATGCCAATTGCTTTAATACCCAACATCAGGATCAGCAGTCTCATCTGCCACCGGATGTCTTGGAAAGAAATAAGGTGCATTTCCCAGTTGACTTCCTGGCCTGGATCGCAGCCTGGTAGGCATCCCGCAGCTTGGTGACATGGGGCGATGGTGCTAGGCGCTGCCCTCGAGCCCTCTCCAGTCACATACAAGCGCAGGGTGCTTCACCCTCAGGCCGGTCGGTTGTAGCTCTGGATGGTTGGGAAGCGCTACAGCTCCCTACTCCCAATCCCTCCTGGGTTCAGCTTGAAGGATTGAGGACTCCTGCCCCTCCGAGATACCAGGATTCTCCGTGCCAAGGGCACCGTCATTGGACTGTTTTTGGGCACCGAACTGAGACCACGCACTGAGCTTCACCAGGCGCCACGTGACCTTTTGCTGCCTTCCCCAGGCCCGCTGCTTCCCCAGCCTTCTCGGACACAGAACAGCGTCCTTGAGTCAAAGTCAGGGGAAGTGAAACCCCCGCCCAAACGGCACGTGCTGCTTCTGCGGCAGAGGGCATGAGAAAGCCAGCCTGGCAATGCTGCCTAATGGGGGAGGATGGCTCTGAGATGCCGCGGGGACCCGGCTAGCAGCGGGTAGAGTTTAAGCCAAAGACTCCCTTTCCTCCCAACACCACGTGCTGCAGAAGCGACACCCCTTGTTGGACGAGACCAGTCATTACTCCCTGCCCCAGTCGCCTCCTCTGGGTCCAGGCTACAAAAGGTGACAGCCCTGCCACCACTCTCCAGCTCCTATTACGGCCCATGGGGAGCGGCCAGGCTCCAAGCCCTCGGACCCACGTCCAATCCCTGCTCTGGCCTTTCACCCAGAGACAAGGTGCCCTCATAGCTCCCCCGATCTTGTCTTCCCTGCTCTAGGCCAAGCCCCATGGCAGGACCACACAGCACTGCTGCCGGCTAGCAGGGCCCCCACGCGGGCCAGACGCTGGCGGGCCACACGCGGGCAAGGAGGCCCTCGAGGGCAAACTCCAGCGGTGGGGACAAGAGATGCCCGACGGTACCCAGTAAATAGGGGGCTGCTCTGCCCCTCGCAGCGTGCACAGAGGAGGGGGCCGTGCGGTCCCCCTGCTTGCCCTGCGGCCCGTGTCACGTCAGGGCTGCTGACGGGCTTGTCTGGGGTGGTTTGGAGAGGGCTGATCCCTGACCCTCCCTACCATCGAGGAATCTCTCTAGGATTGAGGAGTCTCTTTAGGATCAAGGTGTCTCTTTAGGACTGAGGTGTCTCCCTAGGACGGAGGAGTCTCCTTGGCATGCAGGAATCTCCCTAGGATGGAGGAGTTTCTTTAGGATGGAGGAGTCTCCCTAGGATCCAGAAGTCTCTTTAGGATCAAGGAGTCTCGTTAGGATCTAGGAGACTCCCTAGGACGGTGGAGTCTGGCTGCGGCGCTTTAGGATCAAGGTGTCTCTTTAGGACTGAGGTGTCTCCCTAGGACGGAGGAGTCTCCTTGGCATGCAGGAATCTCCCTAGGATGGAGGAGTTTCTTTAGGATGGAGGAGTCTCCCTAGGATCCAGAAGTCTCTTTAGGATCAAGGAGTCTCGTTAGGATCTAGGAGACTCCCTAGGACGGTGGAGTCTGGCTGCGGCGGCAGACCCCGCACCCGGGCGGCGGGGTAGGCTGTGGGGCAGGCGCATCCCCCGCGCCAGGCGCTGGCCCGGAGGAGGCCCCAGGGCCGGGCCGAGCCGAGCCGAGCCGAGCAGGGCCAGGGCCGGGCACGGCAGGCGGGGGTGATCAGCCGCACG